TGTGCTGATAAACCAATGCACAGCGATCAGCGTTCCTTGGCGCAAAGCACATAAATCCCCTCTCACCTCCAGAGGCTGTCAGACGTTGGTAAGTGGCTTGGGGCTCCGCTGGGAACAGCCCTGCTCTGCTGAGCTCCTTAAGGCACAGACACGGTGTCAGCCACTCATATAGTGGGACAAAGCACAAGAGAGTGAAACGAGGACTGCTGGTTTATCCTGACACTGACCAAGCCTTAAAACAGGCACAGACTCCATGCTCCTGGTTCCTTCAAGTCTTAACTTTCAAGTGTTCTAGCTGTGACAATGTTTATCCCATAATATTCACCGACTGTCAAATGGATTAAAAAAAAAAAAAAAAAAAAAAAAAGAATGAGACTGGATATTTTTAGCTTTATTTTTTAAATAAGCTTCACGACTGCACGTCAAACACAAATCTAACCTCTTCGGCTCCAAACGGAGCCTATAATTAGAAACCTCATTTGTTCTGGTCGTCAGGAGAGCTGTTTTCTCTGGGGAATGTTGTGGAAAGGAAACCCGGGAAGGGCTGTAAGAACCAAACAACATGGAACTTCTTAATAACGGACACTGCTAGCACAGAACCATGCCAACTACACTTGAGTAGTTACAAACAGCACTGTACCCCAAGAAACTGCTTTCTTCCAAAATAAAGCGCTTTTGTCTCTCTTCTTACTGAAATGCCAGAAGCCACTGTGCAAACTCATGTGGAATAGATACAAAAGGGTTTCTGCACCCAGAAGTATGTTTTTCACATGGATGCCAGCTCATCCACGGAAAACAAAGACACCAATCTTCTGCACTGGTAGCAGAGCAAGACGGTCACCTCACTGGGATGAGCCTTTCAGCCACTGCCTTTTGCCTCTCCTCTGCAAGGCTCCTCTGCTCTCTTACATCCGGCTTCCATTTCCAGCTTTCTTTATACTAACTTCCTCTCCCACCCTCATTGCCACACCTGCAAATTCCACTGAAACACAGAGGGGAGGGAGAGAACAACAACGGTGTGGCAGGGTAGCACCCCAAAAGGCTGAGCCCCAAGAAGTTGGGCTCCTGACACAGCGCAGGGTCAGGATGCCCAGGAGGTGGACCTCAAATGGGGAATGACAGCACTGAGCACAAGGCAGTCAGCACAGATTGAGGAGCAGCAGGAAGGTGCGTGCAACTGCATTTTTCTTGCTAACATCTCTAGAGAGCACTGGGTGAAATAGTAAAAAAACAGCATAAACAATAAAAGTTCTTCTTTTCTTCTTAGAGAGAACAGCAGCATTCAAAAGTCAAACTTTGTACCTACATGATATTTTACACAGCACTTCCAGAATTCAGCCATTCTGTGCACACACCACTCAGCACTCAGATGCCGAATGTAAGATTTGCTCTTTCCTAACAACCAGGAGCCCATGACCTGCACAGCACTGCCTGTTCCTGGAGCAGAACTTCCCCAGAAGCAGCCTCCTGTGTAAGAGACATATCTCATCGGGGGATTCCCTGGGTACCTGCAGCCTCCCAGTGGGAGGATGGCTGGGAACTAATCCACAGCAGCACTCAAAAACCACCACCCCCCAAAGCTGTGTGAGAAAGGAGGAGGGGATTGGCGAGGATTTACATCAACACTGCTAGGAGTGGGAGAGCATGTGGAAGTGGCCTGTGGAAGTGCAGGAATGCAGGCAGGAAGATGCACTTCCCTGGACATATGGCCAGGCGTGCAGGAGCAGGCAGGACTGTTTTCACTTTTCCTGAAAAGATGGGGGTGGGAGGGATGAAACAGGGAGAGAAAGGGGTCAGCTTTCAAAAGTTTGCAAAACATCTTCTTTTGGTATTTTCTCTGGAGGGAGTGGACGATTTCCAAAGGCTTGATCATACAGAAGCACGGGTCTGATCTTGCTGCAGCTTTTGCGCATGGGTAATTTCACCTCACATGAGCAGTCACACTGGCACGACAAAAATATTTACAGTTCCTCCTTTTTCATTTAGTAAATGAGTCACTGTGAGCACAAAAAAGGGCCATGTTCAGTTTAATCCGGTTGAAAAAATTTGCTCGTATTTGGGTGACACAGATCCAGGTTTGAGATCTTTCAGCTTCAAGTCTGCATCTTTAATTGAACAAAGCTACAAATGCTGGATTGCCAACCTTCATTTCTCCTGCAAAAAAAGAGGGTTGGTAGCCCACTGCACTGCCTATACAGCAGAATTCAATAAGACTGAAAAAATGAGCTGAACACCTCAGCCCCAAAACACCCCACTGCCTGCAACACTCCGTAATGATTTTAATGCTTCAGGTTTTTAAAAGCGGTAGAAAGGAAGAGACAAATCTTTCCACATCGTGCAGAAGATTTGGCAAAGCCCAAAGACACTATTACTGAACTCTTATATCAGAATTGGTATCAATCCATTTACCCTGTCTCAGCCATAGAAACTGAGATACGTAAGTCCATTCCTCTCCATTAAATGGAAGGCAAAAATTCACACAGCTACTTTATTTCCATTTTTCCTTCTTTTCTTTGGACATGCATACAAAACAAGATCAAGAGCTACCACTGGGTAGTTCTGCAGGCATGGCACACCGTGAGCTCCAAGTTGTAACCAATCTTTTCACTGTGAGTACAGGAGAAAGGAGGAGTTAAGACAAGAATAAAAGTAATTGCCACCACTTTGTCTTAAGCAACAGTAAAAAAAATACCCTGCAAAACTTAGCATCTGTATAGTTGAGAAAGACACAGAAACAATAACTAATAGCTCCACTCTTTCCCCTTTGCTCAAGGGGACATTGTATGCATTTTTTGACTAAACCTCAAATACAAACCAAAAGTAACATCCTCATACATACAAAGAGTCTTATTATGATTGTTATTGCTGGAAGGGGAAACTCACTCTTACTGGCCACATGACTGTTGAAATCTACATTCAGCATTGTTTGGGGATTTTTTTTCTTTCTCTCTAACTCATTAGACACAGTGCAGCTGGCAATAACTTTATAACTAGAAACATTTAGCTGAGTGTTTCTGATGCTGCAGAGTCAGCAATACAGATGAATTTGTTCCATGCCACCCAATGCATACTTAAACACACACCCTGCAGCATCTCACCACAACACTCTTTGGGGAAACACTACCAGACCAGAATATCAAATTTTTGTTTTTCCTTCACCCCTTGATTGAGAACATTAACATCACACACAGCGATTTACATGTTTGCACAATCCACCACTTACTTAACAAGTACTTGCTAAGACAACTCATGCAGCAGCATTACAAAGCAAAGGAACAAGCATGTTTTTAGGACCTGAATCAAGACCTGGGGCCTCTCACATCCCATTATACAGCAACCACCCACAGTCTGGCAGCACTGAGGTATGTGTTCACACAGCACTGTGACACTGCAATCTTCTGCAAGGGACACCTTAACGCAGCCTTTCACTACTTACAGTAGGGTGATAAGAAAGAAACTTCTTACAAGGGCATGGAGCAATAGGACAACGGGTAATAGCTTTAAACTGAAAGAGTTGGTCTAGATATGATGAAAAAATTCTTTACTCAGAGGGCAATGAGGCTCTGGCACAGGCTGCCCAGAGATGTGAATGCCCCAACCATAGAGGTGTTCAAGAGCAGGCTGGGTGGAGCTTTGGGCAACCTGGTAAAATGGGAGACGTCCCTGCCCATGGCAGGGGATTGGAACAGGGTGGGCTTCAAGGCCCCTTCCAACCCAAGTCATTCTCTGCTTCATATGGGCCAGGTGGCAGCCAACTCCAGCCAAGCAGGTTAGATAAAGTTCAAGGACACTCAGCAGGACCTGCCAGCTTTCAGAGTCACTGGAATTCACAGGAAGCTGAAACTCAACGTGGATGAGAAAGAGATGACCTCTCAGGAAGGGAACCACAAGCAGCACCCTGGGGAGGCAGCAATGACATGGTGAAATCCTGGTCTCAGGATATCTGCACAAGGAGCAGATACGGAGCACCTAGGCTCAGGTGTAGGCAGAGGGTGTGCCCAGGCACCCTGCCAAACTCTGTGAAGGAAACCAAAGCTCAAGAAAACTCCGTGCACTTCCTCAAACGGGAGCAGGAGTTTCCTGAGGGGTGGTTACAGGGCTCAAAATTTAAGTCAGTCACAAATGAGGAATAAGTTGTGGAACCTTGGAGAAACAGGAACCAAGTTTGGCTTCCGCAGCACGTAACCTAGGGGAAGGGCTGTGGGCAACCACGACTCTTGATAAGCCCCACAGATTGATCAGAGGGCACCAGGCTCAGCCAATTCCCTAGCTGAGTGGCCACGCAGCAGGGAAAACACAGCAGGAGTTGTACAAACACTGACCAGAGGTCTGAGCAAGCAGTAGGAGCAAGGCAAGGGGAGCCAGCATATGGAAAACTGACTCATCAGCTTCCAAGGATAAAGCCATGCTTAGAAAGAAAAACGTTGCGCTTCAGAAAAGACAAACGAGAGGGGCTGGGCTGCTTCAGCTAAAGGAGCAGAGCGTTTGCCTCGCTGTGCTGACAAGAACCGGAGGTTCTGCTCTCCAGAAGGGAGTTTTGCTTGGCTGCCCGAGTTCCCCAGCACTTCTTGCCCTGCGCTGCCTAAATCCTTCTTAGAGGTGGGCATTTTAGCGCTGACTACGAAGGGCTCGGGTTTTTTGTTGTTCTTAATCAGCTCTTCACTTCAAAGTCCTCTTACAGCCGATCTCCGCCGAGCACTTCGAGCACTTCAACCACTCCACCGCGGCCGAGGGCCCTTCCCTGCCGCCCGGACGGCAGCCAGGCTGCCACGCACCGCACTCAGCGCCGACACGACGCGCACGGCCCGCCGGTTACTCGCCACCGTTTAACCCCATCCCCAGCCCGCCCGTTCAGCCCTTCAGGAGCGATTTCAGAGGCTGCAGCCCGCCGCCTGCGGGACCCCAGAGCAGGCGGGGGAGCGCCGAGGCGCGGCGCCCCTTCGGAGAGCGGCGGACACGTGGAGCGCGAGCCGGGCCCCGAGCCGGCGCTCGGCACTTACTTGCGGGGCGGCGCGGGTCTTGCCCGGCGGCCTCCTGAAGAAGGAGGTGCGGGCGGTGAAGAAGTACTCCTCGGAGTCCTCCTCCTCCAGGCTGCTGTAGCCGCTGCTCATGCTGCTGGTCCAGGTCATCGGCGACTCCTAGTGCTGCTGTCGCTACGGGAGGGGCCCGGCGGCGGAGAGCTCCGTCCCGGCCGCCGCATGGGGCCCCGCCGCGGCCGCTCCTCTCCCAGCGCCGCCGGGCCCGGGGCGCGGGAGGAGGAGGAGAAGGAGGAGAAGGAGGAGGAGCCGCTCTCCGGCTCCCGCCCTCCCTTCCTGCCGCACAAGTTTCCGCGGGGTAGCGGCGCGCCGGGCCCCGCCGACACCTCTCGCTTCCCCGCCCGGCCCCGAGGAGCTCCGCTGACGGCCGCCGGGGCGGGCTGGAAGCGCGCGGCCGGAGATGAAAGACCGGGCGTGGGCCGCAGGTCGCCGGAGCTCCGGCTGGGCGCTGCCCGCCCCTGGGCCTTTCAGCGAGGAGGTGGCCGAGGGGGCAAATCGCCGGGGGACTTTGCCCTAATAACGCGTTAAAAAGTAACCTCGGGCGGAACGGCTGCGAGTCTTTCTCGGTTTCTTCTAGGAGAACTTGAATTTAAACTTCGCAGCTGGCCGCTACTGCGGCGCTGCCTCGCCCCGCCGTGGGCCAGCAGAGATAAGCGCGAGGAATCCATCGCCCCGGGCTGCCGTGCGAGCGGCGCCGCGAGGGCGCGGGGATGGGACCGGGGGCAGGGCAGGGACCGCCGCGACCGAGGCTGGAAAACGTGCTCAGAACCAGCAGTTCTGGGATGATGCGGGGCAATAAACCGCGCTCGGCCATCGGCGGGGGAAGTGGCGGACAATGCCTGAAGGCCGGCTCGCTCCGTAATTACCTGCTTCGGGTTTTCTCATCTCTTCCATTAATTTATCTAGAGCTGGTCGCTGTCAGCGACAGGATATTCGCTTTAAGGCACGGCTTCCTCGGCCCGCACAGCTGCCCGAAAAGTAGACCTGCCTTTCCTGCAGGGCCTAGGGCCCGCGATGCTGATCTTATGCCACTGATCTCAAGGGGAAAGTGAGCCCGGAGCAGGGCCCGCAGCCAGGGCAGGGGGTGGGAGTGAGGGTAGGAGGCATCTCTAGCAGCAGCACGGACTTGAATTAGTTTAAGTAAAGCTGTGTGTCTACCAAGCTGTGTTCTAATGCAGCACTTTGTAGTCTTCGTGCTCAGCCATGTATGTGCCTGGGTTCCTATTGCTGATGTCTCCTTTCTCTCTTCTCTGTCCCTTCATGATCTATTCAGAAACTTCTTAGGAGTGGTGAGGCATTGGCACAGGCTGCCCAGGGAGGTGGTTGAGTCACCGTTCCTGGAAGTCTTCAGGAAACGTGGCGATGTGGCACTGAGGGATGTGGTCAGTGGCATGGAGGGGATGGGTTGGTGGTGGCACTGGATGATCTTGTGGTCTTTTCCAGCTTAATGATTCTATGATTTCTCACCCTGCATATCAATGAAGTCACCCATTACCAGCCAAAACACTCAGGTTGAGCACTGATAGCAGTCAGTCAGTCCGGAGGTGCTATCTCCTCACTTTCCTGTCAGCTTGGCTTCTTCCAGGTCTTCCTAAAAATTTGGCATCTGCCATACTGGAAGGCAGCATAGCTTTTGAAAACAACTGATAGAGTTTAACAAGAGTAGATGTGAATGTGTCAATTCTTTAGCCCGCTTGTTGGAACTGGAAAGCTCCCCAATATTCAAGATAGTTTTAAGCATAATGCCAAGTTACTTGAATGCAACTAAGAGTTTTTAAAACTCTTGCTTTAGACCAATGATCTTCGTGTTATGTGGCTTGCTAAGACCAGAGCCTTGCTGAAAAGAAGTCCCACTAGAGATGTGCTGGATTGTCCAAACCCAGCTTCCAGAGCTTTAGGGTGTAATGCTCCTAGCTATGATCGTGATCATAGTAAAGGTTTTTAGAGACTTGAGTGCACCACTACATGGGATTTTTGTTTTCCAGCTACAAAGGTGTTCTAAATGTTACCCGTTGGCACACTTGACCAACTCTCAGCAACAAAAGGCATTATGTACACAGCCTGTTTGCTTAGTCACAGCCTCAGAACTGATCATGTGTGGGTGGACCATCAAGCTCACAAACAGGACCAAGAAGGCAATAAGCTGCCAAGGGAGCTTCTGTCTGTGCCAGATCTGTTGCAAGTCCTGGCTCCAGTTTATGACAACAAGGCATGATGTTCACCTGTCCATGAAGCATCATTTCTACTGATGATAATGAAAGATTTCCATTGTAGTTTTCTCCTGCTGCAACAAAAACTGATGGAGAAAGTACATCTAAGTTCTTTGTAACATATATTCCAGTAAGAACTCATTCTTCAAGCAGAATTCAGTTTTTGAGCCTACTAATTTTGACAGTGTTTCCTGTTTTGTTTTTTTTTTTCAGATGTGGCACTGAGTCAAAGAATTCACATGAAGGTACAAGCAGATGAGATACCTTTTAATTTTGATTTACATGGTGCTTGCAATAATATATGCAAATCCTATTATGTGTTTTCCAAGACTGATGTTTAAAAATTAATTGGTTTCCCTATCTTAATATACAGGTATATTTTTTAAAATGAATTTTAAAGTAGTCCAGATGATCTCAGCTTGTAGATCAGTCACTTCAGTATAGTACATTCTAGTCAGAACTAAAAGACTCAACATATGTAACCTTACAGATTGCATGACACTCACTGTGCTTTATGAATGTAAGATAAAATCTGCTAATTTTTCAGGCCTATGTTTTATTTACAACAGCACCAACAAGCACAGATTTTCCTTCTAAAGCACAGCAATCAATGTGTTGTCACTTGAGATACCGCTGTCTGGTCAAACACTACCTACCTGGTAATCAGTGTCATGTACCCACTAAGACTTCCAGAACCTTTAAAAGGAGAAGTAAGTCGTCTTCAGACATGTCCTCTCCATGACTACTGTCCTGTATTGCAACATGGACCAGGTGGGTGCTAAGCATCAAGGCTTTCTAGCTGGGAATTGGAAGGGGCTCCACGTTCCACTGATGGGACACCAAAGGGCAATGTAACACACTGATGCATGGATTACACTTCCCACGTGCATTTTAGCATTCCCAGGCAAACTCTGCCCAAATTTTTAGGGTTTCTCCCTAGACAAGTACTTTTCTGCCTTCTGAAATGAATTTATTCATCTTACTTAGGTATGATTCATCCAACAGCCTTTGTTCATTAGGTGCTGCACTGAAACCTCCAGACTACCACCAGCCTTGGATTATTTTCAGTCGCCTCTGACAGTCCTCTTAAGTAGTAGACAATGAGCAAAATAACACTGCATGATGTAAACAGGGCAATATCTGAAGATAAATTTAGTAATAAAGTTTCTGAAAGCATATGTGCTTTTAAGGAGCATTAGTGAAGCATTAGGTAAAAACAGTGAAGTTAAAAGCTAGGAAATATGGCACGGGAGAAAGATTTAAAACAGACAAGCACTGTGAGGCTTTCAGTCACTCATTCCAAGAATTAGTTCTATGAGAAATGAAACTGGAAGTAGCTACCATGTGATCACACAGGCAACTGGCAAGAAAATGAAGATGCTTTTTTATTTATTTTAATGAACAATGAAGTAGCAAGCAGTGCCACAGATGCACCTATGAAGAAAACATGAATAACATTTTTAAAATTTATTTAATAAAGCTTGATGACACACATAGAATGTCACAGTGTTTTTAAATTACAGCCCATTCAAGCCACTAGAATGTGGTGGCTCAAGTACATCAAGCAAAAATAGTAATGGGCACTCTAGGTTACAGAACAAGTTTAATGAATATTAGCACAGAGCAATCACAGGGAAGGTTATCTTGTGTGATATGTAGATATTTGTTGCTTAAGAGGAGCAACAATATTTAAAATCACTATTAGATTCAAAGATAAAATTCAGCTTTAAATTACTTTGTGGTTTTGGAGAGTCAATTTAAAGAAATAAAACATCAGGTATAGCTTTCCAGGAAAGTGAAAATGAAAGCTAAGATTCCTGAATGGCAAAACAGGTGTGGATAATTTTATTAATTTGGTAAGGATTGGACTCTCAGCCACCACAGCTGAAGTAGTACTAGGTACTCAATTTCATAAAGGCAGACTTCATCTGAAGACCTTGCAGTTTCATTTGTCAATTTGCATTAACAAGTCTCTTTATTGGAGAGATCACAATTCCAGATGAAAATCTGAAGGGCACTTTCGAGGGCAGTTCAGTAAATGCATCCACTGCTCTGAAGAAGAACCAAGGTCTGTGTAGCATCCCCACAGACCTTCAGCCAACCTATTCTTAGAGCAAGGTGTGGTAGTATAAACACTCCCTTGCAGGTCATCTGTTCCAGAGCTTTTTAGCTACCTACTGGAGTTAGAAAAATTCTGCCATCTCACCTAAAACCTTAACAAAATTGGAGAGAGGGAGGGAGAGATGGAAGGAGGGAGGGAGGGAGCGCGCAGTCCATTGCGGTTTTTATATCAACCTTTTGGATATTCAAGGTCTCTCATCATTCCCCTATTCTCCTCTTCCCCAGACTAAACAACACGACAACAGATAAAACATGCTACAGCGTTTACATTAACTCCATCAGTGATTGCATGGTGTTTACATGTTTCTAAAACATCCCCTCAGCCCTCTGACATATAAACTTGGAGAGCTCAATAAAATGGGAAACTCAGCGAGCATTCACTCCACCACTATGGCTGCTTGGCTGCCATTGCCCAAGACACACTGTTCTGTACACAGGCCTTGGACCTTTCTCCAGATTTTGACCAGACTGTTTCAAAAAGCACTGTCAAAGAATGAGGAAAGCTAAAAGCAAGATGCGGATTGGGCGTGGGGAGTCCTGTAACATTTTCGACTGCTTTTCTATTAAAATACAAGCAGTAGTGTGGAGACCTCAGGAGCAACTTACATGGTTTTCCTTGGCCAGAAGGATAATGGGGAATTAAGAATATGCCACAATTTCAAATATTTTCAGAACCTATTAGCCTGTAAAGTACTAATGTGTGACCTCAGTGTCAGCCAGAATGCTGATGGCTTGGCAGGTCTTGCAGCCAGGCTGGGTGCAGCCGCGGTGCTAAGGCAGGAGTCTGCAGATTGCCTCCTGCTTTCACCAGTATTTTGCAAGAAGAATTCCAGTAACGACCCTAGTGGCATTCATAATGACAACCACTATGAATTTGCAAGATGCCTCTTGCCTCCGGTTGCAGCAGGAACCCTTTTGGTTGCTCTGAAGCCCTGAGGTTCTCTCTCCCCCTCATTTTCTGCTTTCACACATCTTGGCAAGTGCTGGCTCTGATCCTGTACAGCCTCAACCATACACACAGCTCTACCCATGATTAGTCCCTGAGGGACATACTAAAGCTTTGAATATGCGTAAGACTGAAATCAAAAAGAGTTCCTACTTACCAACACTTTGGATTTGGCTTATTTGTAGCATTTTTACAGCAAAATATAATTATTCCATGATGTTCATTCTGCAAATCACGATTTGTGTAGCAAAAAATGATACAAAGACAAGTTGCAGAGGAAGAGAAATAGTCTGTAACAGAATATAGCTTTAAAATCAAAATAATTAGTTCAGAAATCATGTGTTTTTAGTTTTTCTAAATTCCAGCTGAAAATAGTGGCAATTTCAAATGATCAAAGCAAAGCAATAAAGTTGAAATAAAACTGACACAGAACATCCACTCAGGCCCGCAGTTGCCATAGACCAGTAAACTTTCTGTTTACTCATTTCTCCCATTTGTCTCGAATTAATAGCTCAGCTCTGCTTAGTGCCACTGGCAGCACTGACAATTACGCTTTGATTCATACTTGGTGACTTGCTAATTCAAACAAGGGCACTCCAGCCACACAGGCGCATGAGTACAGGCTGAAAACAAGCAGGAGCCAGTTCTGCAGCCTCCCCACCCTCCTTCGTGAAGAAATGGGATGGGGCCATGTACTTGCTGTGACAGATACAACTTGAGGCAGTGTTACCTGGAGTCCTTTCCCAGCTCCTCAAATTCATAATTCCACCTGACTCATAAGACCCCTTAGTGCAACTATTTCATCCAAAGTCCTCAAAATGAAGAGGACATCTGGAAACTGAAGGTAGCTTGTGGAATCTCTTCCATGCTCGTGAGTTCACACACTAGATCCCAGTCCTGGTTAGAGTTTCTTGAACGTTCCTTGAATATTCTGGGAAACTCTTATCTCAAAGAGACTGAATGTCATTGACACAGCTGAGTGGGATGGCATGGATTTGCATGATACAATACTATGAGTACAGCCCTCGCCAAGGGGCTTTTCTGCTGTTTGAGGACACTGCCATGGGGTTTGACCTCACCACGTGCCAGGAGCACCGAGCTTCACACAGCTCACATTTGTCCCAAACCCACCAGCACCAATGGAAAGGCTCACAATGCTCATAATGTAACTCTTGGCCATGCCTGCGTGAACCTTTCTTCCAGGATACTCATATTCCTATTAGGCAGAAATGCTTTCTGGAACACACACATTTGCTAGCAATTTTCCTTTCTTTTTCTTTGTTGACTACAAAATGCATGCTTATACAGGCATTTTCTTGTCACAGATGTAAAAAGGTAGATTTTACACCACAGATGATGAAAATGTATGTCATATGTCTGTCGTGTTTACTCAGAGGGTTTCAAAGAGCTGTGCAAATATAAGGGAGTGACTCTCTGTACTGCTTCCTTTGTCTTCCCTTCCCTTATCCCTTCCCTTATCCCTTCCCTTCCTTTCCAAGGTCATATTTCTGTGGCATAGACAGACCAGGAGGTGTGCCAGTACCAGTGTGAGCTCAAAGCTGACAGCCATGTTACTGCATCTGGCAATCTGTTCCCTGTGGCAATGGCCTTTCTAGCTCACACCACAGCCAACCCCAACAGTATCAGCTCAAAAGTCTGGCAGCATTAGATGTAGTCCAATAGCTCCAGCTCAATAAAGAGGTGAAGAATTCAGCCCCACTGGCAGAATCCCACTGGTGTGAGGAGTCACATGTAAATATAAGTAAAAGTTGACATAAAAGAAGCTTGGAAGCCTGGGAGTGCTGTCATCTAATTCCCTGTAAGCACCTCTGCCTTGCCAGGGTAAGCAGCAGAGCTGCTGTATGAGAAAATATAATCCTGACGAAACATTCTGTAATAAAGTGTACAGACATTCCCCCATTTTTATTTTCATCCTAATTGCTAACAGTACGTAAAAGTACTTGGGGCAGTAAAATTAAGTAGGAACTTCTGTTTTAAGTATAGAAACCACAACTGTGGAAGCTCAGCATGCTTGTGAATACCACGAAAATGTGAGCCCTAATGCACTGTAGCTGCAATCTGATTCCAAGCATCTGTCCTCTAATGGGTAAATCTGTGGGGGAAGGGGCCTTCTGATCAGGGAATAAAGTCCACATTCTCATTTCCTAGACAAAGAAGTTCTCCTGTCATCCTCTAAGAGATCTCTGTTTGCTCTCTTAGTAGCAAGCTTGACTGCAACAGGTAGTAAAAACCCTCTAGAAACTGCCCCTCTAAGCTGAGGACTTCCTAGAGGAAAAGCTGCTAATGCAAAGTAATTAATGTTTTTTCCCCCTTACTTCTGCAATGATGCACGCGATTAACATTTTTCACATTTCCAGTGTGACTGCCTCTGAAAAGTTTAGCTAAATCTTGCCTTTCACTTTTGGTCCATGTCCCACTGATGCCCCGTCCCTGGAGGTGTTCAAGGCCAGGTTGGATGGGGCCCTGGGCAACCTGGTCTGGTATTAAATGGGGAGGTTGGTGGCCCCGCATGTGGCAGAGGGGTTGGAAATTCATAATCCTTGAGGTCCCTTCCAATCCAATCACATTCTGTGATTTACCAGCCTATGAGCTTCCCAGTTCTCACCACTGCTGTCATGCTGCTCCTCCACCAGTGCAGGAGACAGGAGGGCAGGGGCCCGAAGAAAACAGATTGGACAAAGAGGCAAATTGGCCAAAGTAGAAAAGAGACAAACAAACAAAGGTAGCACTCTGAACTAAGAATCATGTTTTCCCATCCAGAGTTTCTGAAATTTTTAGAACAGAGGGTCAGATTAATTTCTGGGTGCAAAAGGAGCACATGCCTAGGAAAGATGGGATGTATGTTTCTAATTTTGAAGGAAGGTTTAGGGAAAAAAAAGATAGATATACGAAAAATATTTGAAGGAAACTTGAGGGAAAAGTACAGTAGATGAAAGGGCAGCTGAAGAAAGCATATGCATCAAGGCTGAGAAAAAAAGGAAAATATGCTTCATTTTTTCTTTCAGAACTGTGGAATGATGTACTCATCTTGAATCCATAATTCACCCGATGTAAAGTCAGTCTCCTGTCTCCATACACAGTGGGAAGGAAGGGGATGGGGGAAGTGGGTGTGCTACACCCTGAAAAGCCCAGCTCGTGCACTGGGAGAGGCTTTGTGCAGCTCCTGCGCTCCTCTCCCCACGTCGTAACATGGAGCAGCAGCACACGCAGGGAGAAAAGTATATCTATGTATATATGACCAGAAGAAAGAAACTGCATTTGCAGGAGCAGCTTCCCAGCCCAAGGGAAAGAAGCTCTTTATGCATGTGCCTGCTGCTGCGTCTGGTTGGGCTGTAGGTGAAGAGGTCAGGGCCCGAGCCCTGTGCTGATGTGGGATATGTGGGGTTGCTTGCTGTTATCTTCTCCATTAACAGAAAACAGTGATGCTGTAAAAAAAAAAACCACTAAGGGGACATATTTTGGCCTCAAAGACAAGCACTCCTCAGCTAGGCAATGCCTCTTCCATGACTGCCCGTGGCCATGCAGCCCCGTGTGCAGGACCTGGCCCAGCCCCTCATTGCTTCTCTGGTCTCCAGCACTGTTTGGATATGGGTCAGTACCAAGGTCACAAAGGAAGCCATAAATCTGGCATATGATACACTTCTGTCTAGTTGTTGATAGATAGCCTTTTATATACAGCATTCATAAGATGACATAGAATTTATAGAAGCTGTACCTACACTATCAAATAATTCAGCTTCCCCATCCTGTCCCAGGGTCGGGTGCTTTGACAGTCTGTTTTATGCCTCAGTTCATTGCTAGACCCCCTCTTTTACAGTGAATCCATGCATTCTCTTCAAAACAAACCAGATGAGCTCGGGGGTCATTAGATCCAGAAACCACACTGAGGTGGCAGTGGGACACCTCTCCCGGGAGCACTGCCTGCAGCCATCACATCTGGTGTCTGGAGGGACACGTGCATGGGGACAGTGCCTGCCCTCAGGGTGGGGACAGTGCTGAGAAATGGGTAGCAGAGCTGCTGTGCCCCTCCTGGCTGGAGGCTGGGGGTCACTGCCTGTCTCCAGCATAGTCATGGCAGGCGCAGAGGCTGTGCTTGGTTCTGAGACTATGCTACAGCTACTGGTTACTTAGCTTTAAAAGCAAACTAATTAATTAAATGTTACGGTCATTGTGAACATTTATATTGTTAAACTTGTTTTCCAAAATCAGAAAAGAACCACATTATTCTTACAAAATAAATTTCTCATTCATGAATTGCAGATGACTGTTCCTCACTGTGATTTGAAAAGGGAGGCTTCCAAATTTCAATGCTATTATCATTTGGATGGAGAGGAATGGAGGATGAACATGTAAAAACAGGATTTACGGTGCAGTGCTTTCAATGTGAAATGTTGCCAGCTGCGGGCTGTGACAAATTCTAGAGCGATCCTACAGAATCAGTGGCTGGTATTTTCCCACCGCAGCGATGTCCAAACGTGGAGGTCATGGACACAGATTGATTTTTTAAGGATGTAGAGAGCTGTAATGAGCTCCTGGAAAGCGATATAAAATGTCAGTGGTAAAGGAGATGAACTCAGAAGCAAACTTGTAACCAAACCAAAAGTTATCCCATCCTTTTTCTTCCAGCATGGTCAGAGGTTTGAGACACAAGCATTACGGACACACCACTGTCAGGAGTGAGGAGGCTGCAGGTGAGACACATGAACCAGGGCTTTGCTGGGGAGCAGGTCACAGCTCAGCACCGCCTATGCACAGTGACCCATATTTTACAGAAACCCTTACCAAATCCCAGCATCACAGCAGTTGGAAGGGATCTCTGGGGATCATCAAGTCCAACCCCCTGCCTTATCTTCATGCAGAGCTGGGGGAGGAGGCAGCGGAGGTGCAGCAGATGTGTCCATCCCGTGCTGTTTGCGGCCTCTGACTCCGGCACTCGGCGCAGAGCATATGCTGCACTCTCCACTTGAAAGCCAGCTTGGAACGGAGCGGCACTGTGCGCGGTGCCATAAAGAGGCAGGCATGGAGCTCCATGCTGACTGGCTGTTTACCCTAGTGTCCTACCACAGCACATAAGTTATAATCAGAGGAAGGAAACTCCTCGGAGATCTGAAGGCTTTAATTGTTTCAGAGTGCAGATGGTTTGAATTACAGTAAATCAACACAGCTCAAAGTCAATTCATAGTTCAGCAACGGCTGCTTCAACAAGTGAGCTTAGTTTGCTGGCACTTCTGGGGAAGCTTTAGCTGCTTTGCTACTTATTTTACTGACATTTCTGGGCTTAAGAAGCACTGCAACAGGTGAAACCATAGGGGTGTATGTTGCCACAGACATTTCCTCTATGCCTTATACCAGACAATTTTTGGAGCAGCTAAATATAGCTGGTTTCCACCAACATTTGAACACTTTGTTTCCACATGTTTTCTTTTCTGCTACTGACATAGAAATGCTCTGTACAGGCTCCTGGAGACTTCATCCACAACTCTGGTTTTCTTCGCTATGCCGAGAGCTGCCCCACAGTCTCCCCAGGGAGAGATGAGGGTTGGGCACCAGCAGCTATTCCTGCCCTTGTCTGTCCATCCATTCGGCTCCTTCCCAGGGTGTCCTAGTCCCTGCAAAGACAGCTCAGCTGTTGATGAAGCAGCTGCTGAACAGCCTCAATTTAGGGCATAGATTGCTAGGATAAACTGGAACCAATTTTGCTATGTTTTTTGTTGTTTTTTTTTCATAGCACCAGTCTGAACTCTGCCCCAGCAGAGCAGCTGCTTCACTCACTGAGCCATCCCGTGGGATGAAATGGAGCTCCTCAAAAGGATAGCAAACTGTGGGGTACTGACACTGCTCAGTGACACCAGTGCAGGGAGGTTCCAGTCAGGAACTGGAAACCACACTGCAGGAGAGAAGCACAAAGTGCTTTGCAGCACAAAGCACTGCCCAAGGGAGCCTGGATCACTGCCTGCTGCCATGTGCCACATGGACTGCAGATCTGCTTGGGCAGTAAAGGCAATCCCACCAACACCAGCTGTTAAAACCTCCATGTCCTCCACCTGCACTCGGTGCCTGCATTGCCCGGTCCAGAGAGAAGCCAGCCACACACGGCCACAGAGGCTGTGCCTGTGCAGCTTGGGGCTGCGGACTGATCTACAGCCCATGTGCACAGGGAACTTAATACTGAGGGTGCTCCTCTCCTCACTTGATGTGGCCAAGTTAGCAAGTCACAGGATAATTGAAGAATGGGTTGTACCACAAGGACAGAAAGCAATCAGTGAGCAAGCAGTCAGTTCACAAACTTCAAAAGAAATCAGAAACATCCCTTATATATAACACCCTGACAGAATAACACTAGAGAGCACACACTCTTTGCTGCATGCATGCTGCATTCACCTTCTTGTTTGGAGTGAGTTTTCTTGAAAACTATCTGTTTCAAAGACCTGCTTTTAAATTAACTCAGGAAAACTCTACAAAACCTTTTATAAGAGGCTTATGGCAGTGAGGGTTTGAAATGCAGAGGCACCCCAGCACTGAGAGCCTTCCGCTTTGTGGAATTTCAAGTCCACATCCTGGAAGCAGTCTCCTGCCACAGACCCCACACTGCTCACAGGGCAGCAGTCCTTGTCATTGCAGCCCTAACATCTGCATCAGCATCTGCTTTTTTGGGAGGCCCTGTCTCTCCACACGTTGCTGCTGGCAGAGGTTTGCCTGCTGTGGCTCAGCCAGCTGACAGCTTCCGCAGCTGCCCTGCAGACACTGCAGGGAACACAGGGCCCACTGCCCCCAGCATCCTGCCAGCAGGTCGGCCACAGACAGGACTTTCACATCAGCATATTTTTCAAAAGACCGCAGCAAGAGTGCTCACAAAGAAAGGGTTGTTCTTGGAGACAAGCAACTTCCTAAAGAATCCATTTCCTCATTAGAACACCAGAAAGGTGGAAGGTTTCCCTAAAGCTGGCACTGAGGGCGTAGCTGTGACATGAAGATAATTACTGGAAGTAACGGGCGAAACTGCCAAATCTGACTGCTGCAGAACTGCCAGAACATTTTTCCTTCTTAATTGCAGCCAAAACCCACAGGTGACTTAAAAGAAATGAAAAGCGTGAGGAAGAGTGTGGAATGACCAGGAAGTACTGCTCCAAGTGCATAAGCATTTTGCTTTAGCACAATCTAAAGGACTCATCTATGAAATGCTGCTTCAGCCCTTGGTATTAGGGACAATTGCCAACTAATGTTAGTTAGAGTGGCCTGGGGATAGGTGGAATCGAGGCAGGCACATTCCCCTTGCCTCAGAGGCCCCATCTCTGCTGAGCTCTCTGTCTGGCTCAGGATGCAGGGCAGCTCCTGTTCCCAGTGCCAGGAGTGCTCCGGGGCACGCGGTGCTGATGTGAGCTGATGAAAAAAAAAGAAGAAAAAGGACATGTAAATATTCATAAATATTTACAAACTGTTTCTGAAACTCAATCTGATGTAGCTAAACTCTGCTCTCATCAACTCTGTTGGACCCCGCATCTCATTTTTCACTGTCTCCTACAATGCAATGATTCTTACCCCCAAGAGCAGAGTTGCCCTGGGAGATCCAGTCTGTGTCATAGGAGATGAGCAGAAGAGGGAAAAGTCCAGGCTGCTTTTGTCTGCATCTCTTTTGCTTTTCTGTTTCTCTCTTACTTTCTTCTCAGGCAAAGATCTCTCTGTTCTCCTGTCCCAGCACCCAGGGCAGCTCTTTCCACCAGAATTAGAGAAGGCTGGAGTGCAGGGGTTGGAGCAGGCTGCGATGAAGAGCAGGAGGAAGAGGAAGAGAGGGAAAGAGAAGTGCACACCTACTGCCACAAAGTTAGAATCTACCTAACAAATAATGCTAGGGTCACTTCTTGGACAGAGAGTAGATACCTGGTTACAGCTGGAAATAGGGGTTCTAGGTATTTCCAAAATTTATTTCTCATATTTGTTCAGCCCAAGAAATTGTTCCACTCCCTAGGTTTATCTGCTAATTGTGGGAGAAAATATAAAGAAATCAGTAAGATCATATTTCACAGATGGAGCTGCTAGAAATCATACTCCTTTCCCTTTCTTGTACTGAGTTACCTTCCAGCTCATCATATCTTCATCCTTTCATTCTTTCTCCAGATTACAGATTCTTGGACAAACTCAGGAATATGCCGTGATGAATCACTCAGCAGTACTTGACTTCAGAGGTATGGGCAAAGCAGAAACAAATTCAGAAACAATCAAGCTCTCAGAATTGAACTCTGCTTGCTGCTGACACACAGGCGTGCCACACACCGCATTTATTTGCCCACAGTATTTCGCAACAAAGAGTAGTTCTCTGTGTGATTAGGAGCAACAGATAGGCAAGGAACATTAATCACAACATCACTGTTTCCAAAAACATTTTCTATTTCTGACTCCCCAGACTGAGATATTTTTGAGATAGAGCGAAATACCAGGTTTGCATACCATGAGCACCTCCCTCCTCTTGGAATAAGGAAGAAAAGAAAGCTGGAGGCGAGAGACTAAAAATTAAATCAGTACATCTGAAAATTGAGACCAAACTGACTTGCTGAAGGCCATATCTAATCAGTCATTAGTAGAGCAAGGACTGCAAATCTGGTTTCCTCAGTCCCAGTTTCATGCTCTAATTCCTACCTCCAACAAATTGCTTTATAATAATCATAAGACCTTGCTGATTAGTCATATATGCAGATAAAGAAATCTCTCCAAGGTTATTTGAAGGAAAATACTTGTTATGATAGCAAGAGGAAGGTTGCAGGGAGAGAACTGTGCGAATGGAAAATGCAGAGTGTGTATCAGAGCAACATTCCTCTAAATACAAATTCAGGAGCGATGGGAGATGTAACAGCAGTGGTCAGCTTTACTACAGGCCAGTCCTCCCTGAAGAAAAATGCTGTAAAATTGTCTGATAAGGCTGCAGTGATACAAAAGTTTAGGGAAATCAAGACAGTGTAATTTTATCCTGAAGTCAGTTAGGTGAGATCAGCCTTAGACAGGATGCTGATCTCATCCTGCTGCCCCATGGTAACTATCACCACTGCTTTGTTCTCATTCAGGATTGTAAAGCAAAATAATCAATGACTGTACTTATCTTGCTGTAAACAAATGCAGTCAGAGAAGACAAAACCTGAAAAGGGACTGGCCATGGTTACACACACACTTGTAAGCAGTGGCAGAGAATGAGGTGGAGAAGCACAGGACACGAGTTAGGCAAAGCAAATAATTTTATCCAGCTATCCAGCTGACTGCAGCACATAGCAGGCAAAATGTTTTAAATAGGGATTTGCTGCTCTCCATTGGCTGATGGCACTGGTTGTAGTGTATACGCTTCAAGACCTCTTGGGGTCTGACCATAAAAGTTTTCATCACAAAAGTAAAGGGCAGATACAATTTTATCCTTTTTTGTTGCTTAAATATCCACACAGGGCAGGCAACCCATTGGGCTTATATTCTCAGGGCACCTCTGCCTTGCAAGTAGTATGGCTGCAGCATCACCTGGGCCAGGTGCTGATCCAAAACCCACCCAGAGGCCTTCTGATTAAGAACTGGGTCATGGAGAAAGGGAGTGACTGGAAGATTCAGGATGCTGTGTACCTTTTCAAGGAAAAACAACACCGCTCCACCTTGCAGCTTCCTCACCCCATGACTTTGGGTTGCTGACCTTCCCACTGACTCCTGACTGTGAAGGTGATCCAAATCTGAATCAAGATGGGTAGGGAAATGGAAGCAGCTGCAACTCCCTGGACATGCATAGATAGAACAGTCTTGTAGGCTCTGCTGTGTCAGACCAGCTGAAGGCTGCCTGCAAACTGTTTGCTGAGACAATACACTTTATTCACCTAGTATGTCAAAGCTCTCATTTTCTTCCTTTTTTCTTCCAAGAAAAATCCACAAGTAGTATGTGGATTTCTTTTCTCGGCAAGCCAAAACAAGAGCAGAAACAAAAGAAGCATAAATCTGAAGATATCTGAAGGTCATAGCTGAAAGGCAATCAATGCAAAGCGACCCTTGGAACCAAAATCTTATCCAGAATATCCCAGCCATAATATAAAATGTTTACCTTGAATGAAGTGACGATAAAGACTTTACCTCATTTTCAAAAGTGTTGTTTTTTTGTGAAATAAATATTTGAGGAAATAAAAAACCAAATAACTGATCACCAGCGTATTCTTTTTAGAACACATCAGATCTAAAAAGCTTGTAGGAATCTGCATTTTGTAGCTCTAGCTCTGTGTTTAGAAGAAACACAACAGTCTTTCACTTCTGGGCAGCTTCTTTTGCATTGCAGTAGACAATCTGGTCACAGGAACCAGAGGTACAAGACTGAAAGCTATACTGAAGGATTGGAGGCTTAGGTTAAATAGGTTGAGCAGGTTTAATAAAAACAGAGAAGGAGACATGACAAAGTGATTACTGCTTGATGTCCCCCACAGTTATGTCAAGAACCCAGTATGTTTTGACTCCAGAAAAGCCAGCCACTCCTTTATGGTTTGGGTAGGAACAGAAGGACTGTTCCCCACTAGTTTAGTATGATGACTTCATTGTCATTGCCTTTAAATGACATAGTAACTGGTCACAGTTTCCCCCTTCCCAATAAATACACTGAAGCACTAACATTACTACATTACTGAATTTTCATGCATTCATACGCATTATTTGCAGAGTTAACAGGGAATATGTAAGTTCTTATCCACATTTCCTGTGAGACAGCACAGATGAGAATGGAGCTTCATTGTACAACACGATTCTTGGAAGGACAGAAACCACCACTGATAACATATGCCAAATTGGAGAGAAACTGAGCTTACACAGTTTGGTGAGAAGGACACAAGAGGAGAAGCACTCTGGACAGACCAAAGGCTGAGAGTCAGTCACCAAAGAAGAGCCCCAAGGGCAGCTCTTAGGCAGTGTCCTCACATAGAGGAAGCCACGATCAGTGCAGAACAACACTACCTTATTTTGTTTGATTCCCTGGTCTCGGGGAAGCAAAGCTTTACATTCTTCTAAGATAAACGGGACTGCATCAGAACAACATACGCTCTATTCTCTACCTGCTTTTCTGACAGCTATCTGTGGGGCTGCTGGTTGGCAAACCACTTGGATCAAAGACTGGGAACAAATATTTTCATACCTTTATCCAGCAATGTTATCACTGAAAATAATCAAAAACCGCTCCCCACCTTCCTTCCCCACCAGGGAAGGTTTTGCATCATGCCTTTCCTGCACTGAGTCAAAAGGCAGCAGTAATCTCTGTAAATTTCCAACAGCAACTAACACCATGAGTCAACAAAAAAAGCCTGATACTGTTAAAAAAAAAAAAAAAAGAGAGAAAGAGAATGAAGCTTCAAAAATATTTACACCAATTTACGCCAAGATCCAAACAGTTTTGACTTTTTCTTTTAATCAGCCTTGCTGCCATCTTGTTGTTTGCTTAGGGCAGATCCACATGGGGTGAATTAAGCAGTCTGCAATCATTATTCCAGCCCAGCTTCCTTCCTGAACTCTCAACTGTGAAATAAAATGAGCCTGGTGAATAAGCACAATAAAATGCATGTGATATCAAATATTTCTTGGAACCCTGTTTGGAAAACTATCACCCCTGTGGATTAGTAGATTAAGACAGCCCTGACATGGCTGCTGTGCTACTGATAACTTTATTTTGGTTGAGGTATGAATATATATCCATATATTTTTGTGGATGTGAAGTAAATAATCAGGCAGCTTGTGAAGGGAGGGGTGAAAGTGACTGCCATCCTATCTACCAGTTGACTTCCAGGAGAAGTTTAGCTGTCTGTCTGTCATCTATTTCACAAGAATTTTCAAGAAAAAATCAATGTAGGCCTCTGCAGAGGGGCAGAGACTCACGGGAGCTGCCATCATGTCCCATATTCACAACTTCCCCATCCAGCATTCATTTTCTCTCATTCCTCAAGTTTTGACGGTTGAACAAGACACTATCATGGATAGTGCTTTATCACCAAGCAAATGGGCATCTCACACATACCATCACACTCACTGATGAGACCCCTACTTGAGCCAGCTCTTCTCCAGGCTGAACAATCCAGGCTTTCTCAGCCTCTCCTCATAGGAGGATCATTGTGGTGGCCCTTTGTCAGACTCTCTCTAATACATCCATGTCTCTCTTATGCTGGGAGCCCCAAACTAGATGCAGCACTCCAAGTACAGCCTCATTACTGCTGAATAGAGATGAAGGATCACCTCTCTTGACCTGCTAGCTACACCTTGCCTAATGCAGCCCAGAACGCCATTAACCTTCTTAAAGGCAAGGGCATGTTGCTGGCTTAAGTCCAACTTGGTATTCACCAGGACTATGAAGTCCTTTCCTGCAGAGCTGTTTTCCATTTGGGCGTCCTCAGCATACACTGGTGCCTCGGGTTGTTCCTCTCCAGGTGTAGAACTTAGCTATTCTCCATGTTGCACCCCATGAGATTCTTGTTGGCCTCTGTCCCCATGCAAAGAAGATGGAGCCAGGCTTTTGTTAGTGGTGCACAATACCAGGACAAAGGGCAATGGGCACAACTTGAAGCACAGGAGGTTCCCTCTGAACCTCAGGAAACATTTCTTTACTGTGCTGGTGACAGAGCACTGGCACAGGCTGCCCAGAGGCTGTGGGGTCTCCTCCTCAGAGATCTTTAGAAGCTGCCTGGATGTTGGCCTGTGCACCCTGCTCTGGTGGCTCTGCTGGGCAGCAGTTGGAGCAAAGACACTTTAGAGGTTCCTCCCTGCCTCAGTCATTTTGTGATTCTGTGACAACAGTAAAATGCATTTCTTCAGTGCAAGCAGCCAAAACTCAGTTGCCTACACATGCCCCATAAAAAACAGTCCTCTTGGTGATCACTGGCCCGATCTGCATGTTGAATAACTACCCAAAAGATAACAAAGAGAATGTTCTCAGATTTCCTTGCTGCAAGCCATCATTGGCACAACCCATAGCACCCTCACCCGCTATCAGCTCCCCCTGCTTGCTCAGGCAGAACCTGGCCACCTCTGGTGCTGGTGTGTGTCTATGTCACTTTATATTGTCTACATAACACATAAAACAATGTCTCACAAGACTGGTTCTCCTGCAGCTTTTTCTCCAGCAAGATTAGGCGTTTGAATTGAATATCAGCAAACCACTCGAACACATGGGACGTGCAAGCCTATATTACTTCTATTAAATTTGTAACGTGATCATCTGTGCTCTGCAGAGCCTGCACAGGTCCTGTGAAGATATTAATAGCTTTGGACAAGGAAGAAGACTGCTGCAATAAAGACATGCAGTCAGTATTTTACATCACATATGCGGCACAACACTGACAGCACAAACTGGAAATGGTTGTGGAAGATGTTTGTGGTAAGGATGATGTGTATTTAAAATACAAGCTGAAGGATCTTCTAACACTGATCTTATAACAATAGCTGACAATATTTCAAGCTGAAGGTGGCATTACTGGGGAAGGACTGTGTGTCCTTTCCTGAGGAGCTCATACAAATGTCTTGAATATAACAATACAAAACTGCAAAAATCAGATGTTCGCTTGTAATATTCCTCTGGTCTAAGAGCAGTTTTTGCCTGTAACTTGAAACCTTGTCTGCTTCTTTTTAAGCAGCCAGAAAGTCAGTGGTTTGAATGAAGTTGATTAATAAACAACCAAGAATCGATCTCTGGATTTCAGCTGTGTTTCCACTGATCAGAGAACTTGCTACCTCTCTGTCTGAAAGGTCAGACCTGTGTATTATTATTCAAGGACTTCAAATGCAATTTGAGGGGAAAAAAAATGCTTCTTCTGTGGGCTGTGAATTCCCATAAAGTGCCATCAGGCTGAATCCTGCCCTGTTAGAGATCTGAATTCCCATAATATGTCATTTGGTGCTATGATGGCACATCTGTCTGTCCACTCACTGTCCACTCACTGTGTGCCCCATCCAACCTTTACTGTTGGGCTTCAAGCAAATCCAAGTGGGGTTGACATTGTGCATAGACATCCAAGCTTTCTGAATGCCTGAGAGCTAGGTAAAGCATAGCTGCCTGAGCTGTCAGACATCTGGAATTCCAGGCAACTACACCAAAAAAGTCTCAAATTCTGCCAAAATAAAAACACCACATGGGAGAGGAAGTTATCTCCAAGAAACCTGAAGTCATGGTAATTCCAGCAAGATATCCCTTTCTGGCAAGGGATGGAAAACCTTCAACCCACAGGCTGGAAAGAGACGGTCAGAATTTCTTGCCTATACACATTAACATGCTTTCTGCTGCTTTTTTTTTTTTTGCTTTTTTTTTTTTTCACATAAGTTCTTCAGGAGATGGGTAGGGAAGCAGCTGCGGGTATAAGAGCTGTTCTGGCAGCAGCAGGAGCATAGAGCTGCCGGCAGAGGCCGGGGCTGGGAGCAGCTGTGGGCAGAGGGGCTGTGCTGTACTCTGCTCCCTGCCCTCTGCTGGAGATCACTGATGGAGAAAGAAAACTCACTGGGTTTTAATGCCTTCTGTGTGCAGTATTAAAATTGTCATCAAAAGATATAAAGCCAATAAAGTCTGCAAAAATGGGGTATTTCCTGCGGGAATAGATACTTAACAGACAAACAAACAAAACAAAAACCACAACCACAACCTAAAGCTCCAAGACCCTCTTTAAATTTAAAAAAAAATTCTCTCTGCTTAAATGCATCTGTTGCCTTTGTCCTAATTGAAGTACTTAACGAATGTCTTAGTTATCCTTGACCCAAGAGTTTATGCAGCCTGCTCAGGAACACCTGGTGGATAAATGCTCCAGAGGATAACTGCTGCATTCTCATGATACCTAGATGCATTCTCATGATACCTCTAGAGACTATTAAAGAAGTCCAAATATCTGATATACTAAATTAGACTTCTTAAAATGTTGCCATTTATGTTTTATAAACACACATATACATTATCATTTAAGTCAGCACTGCACAAAGTCATACTAGCAATATTCACACTGAAGGAAGACTGCAGAGAACTGCTGTGGATATCTCTTAAATTTTTTTGCTTTGAAAGTTTGGGACCAATTCCTAGCTTTTACTATATCATACTGATACTATATCATGGCTTTTATTTATGTGAAATGAATTTCTATAAAAGCAGCCTGAGCAACGCACACAACTGGAACTGAAATCAGCTCCAGGTTTGAAATCAATCCCAGTCACTGGCAAAAATGAAACTATGTTCTGCCTGCCAAAACATTT